AAAAAAAAAAAAAAAAAAAAAAAAAAAGAAGAAAATCTTGCATTCAGTTATAATGCTTTATAAGTATAAGATATCAGATTTTGAAGTCATAACATGAAAAAAGTATTACGAAATATTTCATCAACAATTTTTATAATAATTACATGTTGGAATAAAATTTTGTTTATAATGGATTAAACAAAACATTGCTGACATTAATCCTGTTTCCTTTTGCATTCTGAATATGGTTAGCAGAAGATCGTGATCACAAATCACAAAATGTGTTCCCATCAGCCAGCAATGCTGCTCCAAATACAGATGCCACCTGGGATGTGAAGGAGCAGATGAAAAAGGTGAGCCACCACTGGAGGTAGGCAGACCGTGGACACAGGGCCCCCGAAGGCTGTGGGAGCAGAGGCCACCCCCACAGGCCGAGGGTGCAGAGACATCCTCCCTGTGGGCTATGTGGCACCACAGAATGCCCCAGAGGCGCTACATGTAAACAGCCCCCATGGGCTATGGGCACAGAACACCCTATAGGCTGTAGCGCATGAGACCTCCAAACCCCATGGGCACAGAGACTACCTGGAGACCATGGGTACAGAGATTCCAACAGGTGGTTCACGTGCACAGAAGACGGGATCCATTCCCCTAAACCTGCTCCTCAGCCTGTCACGGCTGCTCTACCTGCTGATCTCTGCTGCTTCACTCCAGGTTCACATATGCTCAGAAAACCCCTCTCCCCAGATAACACCCATTCTGGAGAGGTGTAGGCCAGGAAGCCAGGTAGAACAGGCCACCCCCACATCTCCATAGCCTCCAGGACTCCTTAAGAAGAGTTTGCTGGGCCCCTGAAACCTCCAGACTGGAGGTTCCCAGGGAAGGGGCCAACTTACCATCATGCCCACGCCCACCGAGGCCTGGGCTCCGGCCCTGAGCCCATCTGAGAGGTTTTCAGTCACTGAGCGCCCTAGCAGTGCAGTGTCAGATGAGAGGCGGTTAATCAGTTCTCCTGTGCGAGTCTTATCAAAGAAAGCAACCTCCTGCCTCAGAACGGAGGAGAACAGTGAAGTCCGAAGTCTGTTCACAATTCGCTGGCCTACAAAGCAAAGAAACCAGCTCACAGCAGGAAGAGCAGCCAATACCATCAAAGGCAGTGTCCAACATGCAGTGGCCTGGCCTGGTGTCAGAGCCCTCCTGAGCCATGGGGCCTCTATTGCACAGATCCCACCAGTACAGACAGAATGACCCAACCCTGGCACACTGACAATCATCTTTAATAAATACAGACTGTGGGCAGAGGTGAAGCAAAAACAGTAATAAAATGCAGCACGACCAAGACACGTTTTAAAAGTATTATTTTTGTGGGTTTTTGTTTTTGTTTTTGTTTTTGCTTTTGTTTTCATTTTTGAGACAAGGTCTTGCTATGCAGTTCAGGCTGAGCTCACTTTGTAGACCAGGCTGGTCTCAAACTCGCAATGATCCTCCTGCCTCAGCCTCCCAAGTGCTGGGATTACAGGCGTGCACCACCACACCTGGCTCTAAAAGTATTATTTACAAAGTTTTCTTATTTTAATTTCTACAAGCTAATTTTGTTCCTTGCTGACAACCCTTTTCTGCACTGAAATTTCCAACGGCAAACACTAATTATCCATGGAGAATTTTATTAGCTAAATGAGACATAGAGGATTTAAAGAGTCAGTGTCCAGCTCTGCCAGGGATAACAGCAGGCCTCTCCATAGGAACACCACAAAAGTTACCATCCCAGCCTACCACACAAACACAGAGCAGACTGGTTTCTGAAACTCCTTGAAGAAGCCCGGAACTCCACCCTAGGCCAAGGTCCTTGTCCTTAAACTTCCTGTTAGGATAGATTTGGAGTTTGCCCCTCTGTTCAAGTCTGACCTTGGAAAAGAACTGAGAAGGGACAGCTTAGCCTAGAAGGACATATATGGCCTTCTCTGGCCAAGAACTCGGATTTGTCCCCACCAGATGTGATGCAGGATAGGAGAGACAGGGACTTCAGGTATTGAACCTTGAGGCCAAATCAAACACAGGGTCCCTGCATCTAACCAAGCAGCCCCTCACCTGAGGACTGCATGAGGTAGACTCTGACGGCATTGGCAGAAGCTCCACACAGGAACACACCGGTGAGTCCCAGGCACAGGCGGGTCAGGCTCGCACCATAGTCCGAGGTGGGGTTGGTATAGATGATGTCAATGATCTTTCCCAGGAAGAAAGGAGCAGACATGGTGATGACACTGGACACAGCCAGAAACCCAACAGCAGCTGGAAGACAGGAGGACATGCTCATGCTCACAATGCTTGGCACTGGAGCAGGTTGGAGTTCCTGACACCCCCTTCCCAGACTTTCAGGCTCACTTGCTGGGGTGAAAGGGAAGGACCAAATGGTTCTAGGCTGAGAGTAAGCAAAGTGACCATAAGGGAGCAAGTGACTGTGCTCCCAGACGAGATGGTATTTAGGTTTATTCACCCCTTCCTTGCCAGAAATGACAGAGCCAACTATGGCATCCGTTCTGGCTTCCATCCATGGCTCTGGATCTTAGATGCTCTTCTTTCTGACTTCGTGCCTCATGGTATTACTGCCTGGCATCCCATTGTATCTTAGCCTGAAGGTCAGACTATCCAGGCAGAAGTCTCAGCCATGTGGAGCACGTACTTCAAAGTCCTCCAAATAACCTTTGGGAAGCAGTTGCTAAAATCCATTACTAGAGCCGGGCGTGGTGGCGCATACCTGTAAACCCAGCTCTTGGGAGGCTGAGGCAGGAGAATCTGCAAATTCGAAAACAGCCTGGGATACAAAGAGAGTTTAAGGCCAGCCTGAACTGCACAGCAAGACCCTGTCTCAAAAAGACACACAAATAAAATAAAATAAAATCCATTACTTATGGGTTTCTTCTTAATGTTATTGCACCAGGGAATAAAGCAATTGGAATAACAGCACAATTTGAAAACAAATAAGGACGTAACTGTTCATGTGCCTAAAAACAAGACAAAGGGGATCTAGTCTCATTAGAAAATACTAAGAAAATCCAACTACAGTCAAGCAAGGTGGCACACACCAGCACACAGGAGGATTGCCATGAGTATGAGGTCAGCCTGGGCTACATAGTGAGCTCAAGGCCAGTCTGAACTACATAGCAAGACCCATCTCAAAAAAAAAATCTAACTAGGAACAATGTATACCACAGATAATTGGGGGATATAAAGAGAAAATAAATTTAAGTTACAAAAAACCACCATTTTTCAGCTATGGAATTGGTGAAGATCCCTATGTCAACATGTGCTGGTGAAGCACTTATGTTGCTGGAATATAAACTGGCAGAATCTCAGTGGAGAGAAATCTGACCAGTCATCTGTCTCTCAGATTGTAAATGCACATTCCTTTTGATCTCATAGTGCTATAGACTGAAGATGTTGAATATAGCATTGGTTATACTAGCAAAAGAATCAGAATATCCTAAACCTCTATCAATCAGGGATGTTAGAGCTATCATATTCATTTTATTAATACTATCATATAATTATAAGGAATGAGGTGACTCTAGGTATGTGCATGAACAATCTACCAAGATATTCTGTGAGTTAAAAAAAAAAGTTCAGGATGAGTTCGAGACCAGCCTGGGCTACAAAGTGAGCTCAAGGCCACCCCAGCCTAAACTGCACAGGGAGACCCTGTCTCAAAAAGACTACAATAAAATAAAAATAAAAATAAAAATGACAAACAAAAAAGTTTAGGAGAACTGGACATGGTATCACAGGCTTGTAATCCCAGCGCTTCAGAGGCTAAGGAAGGAGGATCGCCACAAGTTCAAGGCCAGTCTGGGCTACATAGTGAGTTTGAGGCCAGTGTGAACTTACACGGAAAGATCCCGTCCCCAACCCCGCCAAAAAAATTCCAGGACAGCCACGAATGGTGACACATGACTATAATCCCAGCTACTTGGGAGACTGAGGCAGGAGATCACAAATTTAAGCCCAGTCCAGGCAACTTTATTTTTTTGTTTTTAATGTGTGTTTTGTTTTTTGTTGTTTTGTTTTTCTGAGATGGTCTCACTATGCAATTCAGGCTGGCCTCGTACTCTCAGCAATCCCCCTGCCTCAGCCTTCTACATGCTAACCTTGGCAATTTTAGTGAGAATTTGTCTCAAAATAAAATGTAAAAAGAGCTGAGGATGTGGGTAGTGTTGGCCCTGTGGTTTCAACCCTAGCACTGCCCAAAACAAACAAACAAACAAAAATTCACAAAATGTCCAGGACACAAATATTAACATTTTGGGAGCTTTTTTTGCTTCTTGGTTTTTGGAGTCTTTATGAGCGCAGGACATGTCCGGATAAGTAATAACCAACAGTGACCCAGCTTCCTTCTAAGAATGGCACTGAGCAAGTGGGTGCAGGATGGCTTCCTTGGATTTGGTGCTATGTACACATTACCTACGCAAACCTAGCAGGAGCCTAGCTGGTCGACAGTGAGGCTCCAGGGTGGACACAGCTTGATGGAGCCATGCAAGGTGGGAGGTCCCAGCACTCTGCAAATGACAACTGCTTCTACCTGCCTGCACTCACACTTCAGTCAGATGGGAACACTGGTTGTCTGGCAGACAGTAGAGCTCTGGGAGAAATATAAGCTATTAAGTGGGGCACTGAATGCTTTTTCCTAATCTTTCCCCAGACCTGCTCTGATGCTTCCCTTAAAGTGCAAATACCTGGGCTGGGGATATAGCTCAGTGGCACAAGCGCCTGCCTGCCAAGTGCAAGGTCCTGAGTTTGATCCCCAGTATCACAAAAACAAAAAAACAAAAAACAGAAACAAAAAGTGCAAATACCTGTACTTGCCCGTACTTGCCCTTCCTGTTTGTCTCCTACATTTCCCATCTTTTGGCATTCTAAACCTTTTATTGGTTTATTGTCATCTCCCCATTCCTTTGGGGGGAGGGGTGTTTTTTGTTTGTTTTGAGACAGATTCTCACTATGTAGTTCAGGCTGGCCTTCAACTCAGGATGCAGCCTGGCTGGCTCAAACTTGTGCCAATCCTCCTGCATCAGCCTCCTGAGTGCTGAGATTAGGGGCATGTGCCACCATGCCTGTCTGTCATTTCTTCAGTAAGATATAAGATTTTGGTTTGTTTTGTTCACTGCTATATCCTCACTACCTAAGCAAAAGCTCAATCAGTATTTGCTGAATGAATGAATAAGTGAAATGAACTTCGGCAACAGTGGTAGTAAAGTCTCATCAGACCAAAGTCCTTCGAAAACCTAATTAGAAAAGTAAGGCCTGGCACTCCAGAAAGTCCACATGCCTTCTTTAAAGACCATAACCCCAATGTACTAGATAACATGAACCTGGCCAACGGCTGTTTCATTTTGATGTAAGGTGGAGGGTCTTGTTTCCAAGCACCACGCTCCTGGTGACAGTGCCCAGCAGGACTGAAAATCCAAAAGGCATGGAAGCCTCTGACGACACACAGCTCAGCCTCATGAATGGGAAGAGGTTGTCCTGGTGGCAGGCGTTGAGCACACAATTCTCCCCAAAAGTAATGCATGAAGCACTGTGAGGGTCAGTCTGTGTCCCTCCTCCAGTTTTTAAATCAAAGTTGTTAACCTGGAGTAGGAATCTACATTTTATGAATGAAGTGCCCCATGATTCCAGCTCTGATTGGTTGAATCCTAACTCATTCCAGGATACTCCCCCTCAGTTTTACATTTCAACTAACTAAAATGGAACCCCCACATGCTAGGATTGCTCCAGGATGGTAAAGTAGTAAATAACAGAGAAACAGCTTCAAAGATTGGAGTCCAGATGCTGGAATATAGTAATGTGAGGAAAAGAAGAAGGAGGGAAGTAGGTCCGCAGGACCCAGCAAGGATGTGAAGTGAAAACTAAAGCCCATGGGAAAAGCCAACCAGTGCCTTCTCCTGAGCCCTGACTCACTGCATGCAAGGGGCAGCTTGAACCTGCAGAGCACAGTGAGTGCTGCAGACGCACAGTGACTGCTGACAATCCTGGAGGCCTCCACTGAGAAACACACCAGTGCAGTGGAGCAGTGGACACAGTGGACTGCAGGGGCTGGTGAGTTATTCGTGTTTAGACATCCCCCAGGAGAGGATGACTGGCCTGTAGCTATCTTGGAGAGAGGCCAACTGAACTCAGTACTCACAGCAGCTGTGGGCTGGCTCTATCTAGTGGCTCCCAGTATCAGGGTAAGGTGGACCTGAGTCCGAGTCAGTAGCAGGTCAAGGAGTACAACTGCAAGCCAGCAGGAGGCACACGGAGTATTGCAGGCTGAACAAATCTGGTTCCAGCCTCACAGCCAGAAATCAGCCTGAACTTTAGTGGCACTAAAGGCGCAGGATTGCTGGGATTATCCACTAGCCTGCCATAAATCTATGGCAGGCTTGCTGGGTTAATCAACATGAATCTGTCTGTCCACTTTACCAGTGACAGCCGAAACACACTCTGAAGTGGACATTTTTTTCCTTCTTTTTATTTTGTTTTTGTTTTGTTTTTTTCCTGATCATCAGTTCTTGTTTTTATGAGTGTGAACACTGTTTCTAGTTTCTGTTGTTCTTGTTTTGTTCTGTTCTTGTTTTTATTTCTTTCCCTGCTGTCTTCTTCACCAGTTTCTCACAGTTCACATAATCTTCCTTTGTCCTCCAGCCTTACTTCCAATCTCTTTCTCTTCTTCCATTTTTCTATTTTTTCCTCCTAAGCCTTTTTAAATTTTCTCCCTGAAGGTAGAAATCACTGTACTGAAGGCATATTATACTAAGTACAGTGGGATTGCTCAGGGATGGTAGAGTAGTACATAGCAGAAAAATAGCCTCCCTGAGACTTGTAAATTGTACTCGCAATTTGTAAACTATACTTGCAATTTTGTAAATTTGAGAATTATATTACACAATTTTTTGGTTTGCTTTAGATTGTGTGATACAACCACAAATCTAGTTCATAAGTTAAAAATGGCAAATTAAAGTTGTCATTTTCTAGGCTGTTTGATGCTATTGTTATTGCTTATTGCACTACTTTACCCAAGGTGAAATAATTGTTTGAATCAGCCATTCTTCCTGGTATGCCAAGACTGAGATTGCCTAAGGGTCATTAAAAAATACTATAGGCCAGTGCCAAAGAACCATGGGCTTGGCCAAAAGGGCAACAACTTCTCAACCCCAGTAAATTGAATAAGTAGGATCTTGCAACACATTCAAAACCCAAACGCCATCTACACCTGGAAGACACCTGTGAGTAGTCATTTCCTAAAGGTTCTAAAC